GGTGGCTTGTACGCCTCTGTTCAGTGCGAATGAACACTTTCTTTAGATGCTGAACTTGTTCGTTGCTGTCATCATGGACAATTTTGATTACCTCACTCGCGACTCGAGTATTCTGGGGCCACATCACTTGGACGAGTTCGTCAGGGTCTGGGCCGAGTACGATCCAGCTGCAACGTACTCGAATTCCCATGCTAACCATATACCTACTGTTTCCTAACTATGTCTATTTTCAGTGGTCGAATTCATTACTCTGATATGTACGAGATGCTGAGAAACATCCCTCCCCCCGTCGGATTTGGGAGGAAATGTCCTTATAGACTTGCATACAAGGTAAACCGTGCACCCTTCTCGCCATTGAGCAAAGAGATTTGTTTCAGCACTTGATACGAATGAACATGCCTGTTGCCGATGACGGTACGGTTCAGTTTCAAACGACGCTTTTTGCTCTTATTCGTGAATCGCTCAGCATCAAAATGAGGAGCGGTAAGTCCTTTCTGCCTGGCGGTTCTTCCTAGAATAGCATTGTTCATTCTTTTAGTAGAGGAAATGGATGAAGCAGACGAAGAACTTAGGCGCACCCTTAAGAAACTCTGGCCCATTCATTCAAAAAAGAACATAGTAAACTTAGTCGTGCCTCCAAATTCAGGTACCCATATATTGAAATGACTTGTGTAATTATTCATGTTTTCTCAGAATTGTGTGAAGGGAAACTAACCGTCGGTAAAATATATGCCGGCTTGTTAATACTGGAAAATGAAAGAGCAAAGAAAACCGGCAGAACGGCAGAAGTAACTTTGTTTTTGTGATATTGCATTTTTTGCTTTGCTCTGTTAGGGATCGTTTAAAAAATGTTTGCCCGGTTATGATGGCATAACTGTGTAACTGCCTGGATAGCGAGGGTTCATAAATCTGTCGCTAAGAAGCAGAACTGAAATGCAAAAAACATTCAAAAAAGTGACATAGCTTATAATTCCAATTAATCAGCTGATACCACGGTTTCGACTTCTGTATGTGTTGCAAATCGTGCAGTTTCTGAGCACAAACCATTAGTCAACTTAGAATACGATGACCAGTTTCCATGTGGAACCAATGAATACATTCCTTAGTCGTAAGCATTGCTAGAAATTAGGTATAATGTGTCTGAAAACGACGCGAAAACTGCTTAAAAGTGCCAAAATGGGAACAGGGGTATTCAACAAGCGATTTGAGTTTCTTGTAATTGGTTTATGCTGCAAGAACAATTTTATTGATTAGTAACATTTTATTGATCAGACTAACGCATTCGGCTGAGTGCCGAATCGCAAACGAAGGACAGGCAATTAGAATCATGCCTTGGCTGTGCCTTTTATCTTTGCAATGCTGAAAGAGGATTATCATGAATGTTACGATGGGGAAAAATAAACTCGTTGGATAGGCAATGGTCTCATGCCATTTCTTCAGTTTTGGGTTTGTCTCGAGGAGTCGTACGGAGCAGAGAGCGTACAGCAAGGAACGTGGACTTTCTTGAATACAATAGATTGCACTGAGAGAACAGTAGCATTTTTAAAGTGTAGTGCCGCTTGCGGGTAGAGTTGTCAAACTTTCACTTTAAAGAAAAAATGGAGAATTGCTGAGGGTGCAACAGTGGGCTATGGAAAGAAAGATGATCAAGATTTTTATCAGAAAAAAGCTGCCGAATGAAGAAATAAGACGCACACAAATGAAGGACGGGAAATTTGTCATGAAGGAAAAACAACTGTGGTAGAGCATTTTTTTGCATGACTGGTACCAAATGGATGACAGAATTAAGCAGTGACGGACTGGTAATCTTAGACTGTCAGTGGCGAATGATCAATTGGAAAACCCCAGCTTAGATTGGACGACGAGCTAAACGAGAAATACGAGAATTTTTGGCGACCAACCTTAAGCGATTGACTGACGTGGACATCAAAATCGCTCGAAATTATCGGCCTTAGCCGCGACAATGACCTATGAAGGATCAAGGATAAAAGATGTAGGAAGTAATTTAAAGATTAGATGCTAAAAGGGCCCCTTAGCTGTGGATGCTTCTTTCAAAAATACATTAGTTATAACCGCGTGATTTGAAAATCATTATCGCAGCATGACTTCTACGAAATAAGGCAAGCGTACTATTCCTTTTCAGAAACTAGATTCCGCGGCGCAAATAATCATCCTGTTGTTTTCACATATCTGACTGGCCGCTTAAACAGCTCACAGCTACATAGTGGCGCTGTGACAGTGCATAAGAGATCAAGTTCGAACTCAACTGAGGAACGCCACGTATTTGGTTCCCGTGGTGGATGGTTTTTGCCTATATCACGAATTTCTTTGAGCAAAAAAAATTTAGCTCACGTGTCGTCAGACGCGTGTTACTCGGCCGCCGAGCATCTGACTTAAAATCGAGAGTTCCTTGGTTTCAGCCCCGAACGGGGTCACTTACCGTTCTTCTTTCGAGGTTGATAAATTAGTGCCACTATTATAAATGAGTAAGAAGCAAACAGGAGAAAGCAGATAGTTGCTGTCGATCCTGCCTTTAAAACTTGAGGCACTGCTCGCTGATGACATGAAAATGAAGGTCAGCGTTCCCACTATGAACTTCATGGAAACAAGGGTGCTAAAATGGTCCCATCATGTAAGTGTAAGAACACTCGAACGGTTACTTTCCTTTCCGTTTACATTGTTTCGCTGTCTATAGTATTAAACACGTTTCGTCTCATTCCATTTGTTACAACAATGAAATAGAGCAGTGAAATAAATGCGCCAGGAATTTCGCCCATTAGTGTCCCATTTCCTTACTATTTGAAATTCTATCGATAAGGTTTATTGTTTTTATTTTTACCATCATTACCTTTATCTTTTTCCAATATAACTAAGCCCAATGCTAAATTTGATTCTCAATGAATGAGCAGACATAAATTACACACAAGCATCATCTATGACTAGTGCACTTTCATATAAGTTCTTTTGCAAACGACCTTCTGCTTCTAAATTCATGACATATTCAGTGTTATTGCCGTTGTTATTTCCGCTGTGCACATCGTAGAATGGCTTTGTTGTAATTTAAAAGATTGCTGGCATTAACCTACTCTAGCGAATGTGTGTTTCCTGGTATTGTTGGCTTATGTTTTCAAATGAAATTTTTTCCAAATTTTGTCCTGGTTTCATCAATCAATCATTTTGTAGGAATGTTAAAGCTTAAAGGCTGTTTGGAAGAATTTCCTGGGGACGATGGTAGTACGGCTTACACCCACTCCAACCGCTTTCTTGAAGTAGGACAAGGAGATTTCCAGCTTGCAAATTGGTTCTATGTAGAAATAAAAATGCTCCCTATTTATCATTGAGCACCTAATGAACTGATTTCGACCGTTAGGAGGGATGGGATGGTCGAATGTCTATGCTTGCACTCAATTTATAGATGCTTAGAAATAACGATACTAAGATTTTTAGCATTTTTTTCTTTTCGTTACTTCCAGTTTCAGGCAGTGATTATGAACTGATTAATGTTTCATTGAATTTAAGCGACCAACATCTTTGTTTGGTCAGTTGGTGGATGCAGCATTAAAAGAAAAAGAGCGAGTTTCTTGCAGTCGAAGCAGCTTGGATAAGATAATCAGTTCGTCCGATCTGACGCCCGATAGGAAAGAACCAGAAGACAGTTACAGGAAGGCCAGTCAAATGTAAGTTGTAGTTGCTTCTTCATGACTAAATTCGCAAGCTTCCAAAATTTGTTCAGCCTTCGTGTGATACTTTGCCAAAGACGCTTTAGGCCGCGTCCGTCATCAATGTACTTAATTAAGCGTTCCCATACGTGCTATATTCTAAATCTATTTTTGATTTCGTCTTAAGTGTTATTTTATGATTAGCAGCCTGGTAAATGTATTCTTAAAATTTAATAAATTGAGTCAGTAAAAGATGTTTTCTATTTGAGACAACCTGTTAAACATAAATTACTTGAGGAACTTTGTACTCGACAGTCTGTTATCAAACCCTTCCAATCAGTGGGGGCAAAAGACTTCTAATCAATTTTGCTTCACCAGGAAAAAAATCATTGTTAAATATTTGCATAAGGTGTGATAAAGTTTTAAATTTCATTGCAAATTGAATTTCATGGATCCGCTATCCGGTCCAAACATCCTTCATCTTCCGCCTTCTGCTCTACCAGTGACAAAGTAATTTGGCCATTAGATCATTCCATCGCTTTCTTCAACGACTGACTTGATGCTGATAGCCCAGCAGAATCCAGTTTGAAATTTTTGACGTAAATATTCCCTGTGACATATCGCAGCCACAATGGCAGAAATTGCGCCTGTTAATTTAGAAGATTATCGAATTTGTGCTCTTAGAACATGATCCCGGAGGGCCAACTTATATGTTTTCTGTTCTATCGCTCTTTGCAAGACCATCAGTTAGGTCTTTCGTGCTCACTAGAAAGTCCGTTTCACACGGCAGATCAACCCTTTTTAAACCGCAGCGTTCTCTGGCAACCCCAAGTATGCCGTTCTCACACAGCTTCCACTCAGTTTCAACATCAGTTGTCATCACTGGGATCTGTTCAAACCGTCGGGCGATGTTGTTTGCAAGATTCGACTTCATATCCGCAGTGGATAATGCTTCCCACTGGACTCTGTGGTTGCTTCTTCCACCAGATCGTCGCATGGTACTCCATTTGTCACAGCATAGGGTGGCAATAACAAGGTAGTAATCGGTTGACTACTCTACGTCTCTCTTAACGCGAACATCCGTTACAGAGCATCGTAAGTCAGACTATACGATTATTAAATCGATCATCGACTTCTGTGCACAATCTTTCCTATACCAGACGCACTGATGTATGGTTCGATGCTCGATGAAGCTGCTCATAACAGACAGTCTGTTGTTAGCACGGAACCGCAGCAACTTTATGCCGTTATTGTTTGGGTCGCTAGGGCGATTCGTTCCAATTACACCCTTCCACATTTCAGTCTCTGCTCTGATATGCACATTAAAATTACCCATCTGAATGAAGGATTCCGTAGTCGGCACTTCGAACAGAGCGCACTAGATTTCATCAAGGAATAACTCATATTCTCCCTCTAAATTCGACGTATGGACCTGTGACAAGGTTAAAGCTGTAGTCTGTTGTAGCCTCAGGCGGAAGATTGCCACTCTTCCGCTGACATTCTTTCCATTAAGTGATTCTGTCCACCAGGTTGGGTTCTACCAGAACACCGCCACTGGCATGACCGTGCGTCGTGACGTCGGTACCTGAGTAAAATAGCTTCTACCTGCAGAGATTCAGGATTTTAGACATTTGGCGCTTTTTTGACGGAAGTCGAACTATATCGAATTTGTATTTTGCAGCTTCATCAATTTGCTTCTGCTCTTTTCCTGTTAGTGACAATATGTTCCAATTTCTGGCTATTGGTGTCGTTTCGTAGAACCTCATCTCACGTGCCATAATACAGCAGTTTGTCTGCCTCCTCCCCTGTTCAAAATATGCAGCGGTTCCTTTGATACTAGCAAATTCGTCTTCTCGCCAATTTTTAGGACGTGTCACCGTGCTGCTGCAGTCCACCCGCCGGAAGGCGTGGAGCAAGTTCTGATCGCCTGCTTTTCACACTCTGCCTCAGTTACCCAACAGCCTTCGTGGTCCTTAGTAGCCGAGTAGCGATCGAGCCAGTATAACATTTTTGATAATTGTGATACTTTGCGTGGGTGGTGGCATTGTTTAACGGAAGACCTCGCCACGATTCCCAACCCTCCCTCGTTTTCATCCGGGCTTGACGCCGGAACAACAGAGTTGGCAAAACAAGTAGAAAATTTTAAATTCGAAACTATCAGCTTTGAC